ACGGCTATTGATGTTAACCCCGTGCTCAGATTATTGTGTCTCAATGAGAGTCGAACCTGATCTTTATTTCCCTTAGCGAACCGCCACTTTGTTCTTAGAAAGTTGAATTTGCTACAAGCTGATTCTTCTCCCCAACGGTAAATGAAAACAACATTTAGGCCAAGGTGCACCCTTTGAATTGAAAGTGTTGAAATATTTAAAGGAAATGTTGATTGTCAATCCTAATTTATAGATAATCAAGAAAGATACCTGAAGGTATGAAACACTTTTCAATTCTCACCGAAGCGAATTGAATTGTTACTAACTTTTGGCTAATTGGACTTTATATAAGCATAGATTTGATCATGCTTAGCATTGTGAAAAGAAAATAATTAAAGAAAAATAAAAAGATGAAAAAAAGTAAAACTTCAAAAGTAGCTAAGTAAATATAAATTCCAATGTTGAACCTAAGGGGTATTTATAACTGAAAGTTCTAAGTAAATAAAATGACTAATCGTAATCAAAAATAAAAATGCTACCAAGAGTTGTAGTAAAATAACTAATTCCTAAATATAATAATAAACTAAAAATCCTAAATAAAAAAATAATAATCAAATAATCAAACTAAAAATCATAAATTTAAAAGGCTTATCGCAAATGATAAAAATAAATATTTAAATATTCTACTTCTGGTTGAATTCTGATTCATCTTATGGATAACCTTATGTCAAATACATTTTAATTAAATAATTTCCCGTCTTCTAGAAGATGTTGATTAGACCATCAAAATATGCTACTTTTAGACTAATCAATCCAATAAAACTCATGTCCAAAATAATCCCAAAATAAAGATAACCAATAACATTTAATCAAAAAATAAGAAATAAATAACAATAAATATATATATTAAACACTCATCAGTTCATGAGCTCTTTTCAATTCTACGACTTTTAATGGGCTTTTCCAAAATTTTGAATTTCCATGTGCTTTTGGTTAATGGGTGGATTTATCTTGTTAGGAGTGAATAAAATAAATTAAAAGATTTTTGGATGATTCAATTAAGTTTTCGAATCGAAACAATTGAATTCATAGATTAAAAAATCAAATTAATTAAGTTTTTTTTACTAATTTTAACAGTTAAGTTTAATTATTTTCCCTAGAGTTATCACTACTATATGATACATTGTGGTTATGCTACGTGGCATTCATAGGATTTTTAAGGAATTTTTAAAAAAATTATAAAAGAAAAAAATTCTTAAATAAGTATAAAAATTGTTAAATTTTATTAAAAATTATATATATATATATATAAACATTATTAAAAAAATTAAATTATTATTATAATCAAAACCGTAATTACACGAATTAATTGATAAAATATCTAAAATTGACGCGGTCATAAACAACTCACACTCCAATTAGACGGTCAAGATAAAAAATTTAAATGTTTTTTTTAGAATTTTTAGTAATGTTCTAATCTATTTTCTAATTTTAATAATATCTTTATATTTTTAATTGACTTTGTAATTTATAGTAATTTTGTACTCTGATGGAGGTGAAGATCTCAATTGATCTAACGGTGGTTGAAGGTTTTAGTTTAGTCGTATATCTCAATGAAATCTTTAAATCTTGATACCGATCGATGTTGTTGAATATCGAATTAAGACCGAAGCTCAATATTATAAAATATATGTCAGTGTAAAAATTGATTCTACATTTAGTTGATAATATTAAATTGTGATTCTATCATTTAGAGGCAGTTGATTATTAAGTTTATTTAATGTATTAGATACTAAGTGAGAAATCTTAATAATATGATTAAGTATTATTGGTGATCAAGTAATATGCTTTATGAATAGAAAGTAGGATTTAATTTTTAGAATTAATGGAGTCGAGAAATGTAATCTTTCTATGATTTTTATATGGGAAGGTTTGTATTTTAGAATTGATGCATTGGGATAGGAGAACGAGTGATGTAAGTTGGTTTTAAACTAAAAAGGAATTTAAATTGGAGTCCATTTTTGGTAAGCTCTAGTTATATACATGCCAACAGCGTCTGAGATCCTTAAAAAAATTTGACATAATGACAAAAAATGTTCCAAACATTTGATTAAATTGTCATTTGGTCTTTTTTTTATCATTCTAACCTCTAACGTTTCATTCAAGGTGAAATGATCACTTGTTGATAGAAATTGTTAGTCAACAAATTTTAAACGCTTCAAAAAGGCATCTTTTTACCATAAAATGAAATGTTGAGAGGCAAAATGTTTGGAAAGATAAATATTGATGACTAAAATGATTATATAATGAAATGTTAGGAGGGTTTTATAGTAAAATTAAACGTTAGGAACTAAAATACTTAAAGAATAAAGATTAAAATAATTATTTAATCAAACATTAAAAAAGTTAATATTATACTAAAATAGTTTTTAATTTTTTTGTTAAAAGTAAGGGTAAACTACGCAAATGGTCACTAATGTTTGAGTAAGTTTTCATTTTCACCACTGAAGTTTTAAAAGTCGCAAATCAGTCACTAATATTATCGTTTGTTACAAATTGGTCATTCGCCGTTAACAGGCGTGACAGAAAACATAGCTGACGCGTTAACTGCTTACATGGATTTTTGACAGCCAAGTTGGAAGACCATTGGAATCCCTTTGACCGGTGCTTGAACTAATATGTAATTAATAATTAATTAATAATGGGGAATCAAGGGCTTTCATTTACCAATCTGAACCATTCTTCTTCTTAACATGTTTCTTCTTCTTTCATAAACATTTTCTTCTTCTTCCATACAATCATTACTTCTTCTTCCATAAACTCATTTCTTTTCTTCCATAAACCATTTTCTTCTTCTTCCATAAATTTGTTTTTTCTACTTCCATTAACCCATTTCTTATTTTCCCATAAACTCATTTCTTCTTCTTCCATTCTTCTGAGAGAAAAAGTAGAGAGAAAAATGAGCAAAGTAACGAGAAAAGAAAAATCATCGTACTTACATGGAGGTTATGGCAAATGGGGGACAATGCTATGTGTTAGGATTGTTGAAGCTCAAATGATCAACCGAAAAAAGTGCCAAGAGGGAGTGAATTGGACTTTTGAAAAATTTGGGTACAAAGTGAAAATAGATAGACAATTTGCACAATGATTTATAGTTATTCGACTTCTAAACCAAGTCTACATTCACTATCTTAGCTCCACACTAAGACTTTTCTAAAAAATCACTAATTTGTTCTTTCTTTTTCTAGGCTCAAAAGTAACATTTACAAATCCCTGTCTTTTCAAAGGCTAAGATAGAACCACTCCCATTTTTACAAAAGGATAAAAGATGTAAACAATTAAAACCTCACAAGGTAGATATTTACAAGAATTAAGCTCACAATAACAAATAATAATTTGCAATATGCTCTAACACATATGTACAAGAGAAAAGGAAAAATAAGGAGTGAAAGAGCTTTTCTCTTGATCTCTATAGCTTGGATAGATGTTGTAACCTTCTTCAAGTGTCCTTAACTTGTTTTTATATGTTGGAATGAGTTTGTGGTCGTTTGGAGCCGTTGGGGATGAATTTTCTACAAAAATAAAACTGCCCAAAATAGGGAGTATCAATACTCCTTTAATGATTATCGGTACTACCTTTGTAATATTTAAATAAACTAGCCGTTAAAGACCGTTGGACTAGACCAGTATCGATACTAGGATTCATGGTATCGATACCACTGTGTAAAGTAGTATCGGTACCCCTTGAGTATCAGTACCAATTTTGCATTATGGATTTGAGCAATTTGGAAAACAGCTGGTAGTATCGATACTACCAGCAGAGTATCAATACTACTCTTACCTTTGTATCGATACTACATGAACAATATCGATACTATTCATGTAATATCAATACTGTAAGAACATTAACGGTACTACGTACCCATAAAACTATTTTGTGTTCAAATTCTAGTTTAATGGACTTTGAATTATTTTTGAAATTTTTAAACAAATTCAATCAAGTCGAAAAACATTTTGCCTTAATTTGTTATACCAAAATATTATAGAGCATGGTTCAACATTATGCTTTATGGTAAGCTTCTTTTGGGTTTGATAGAGAGAAAAAATCTTAGTTGGACATCTACAGTTACAAAGCGAAATATCAATAGAGTCTTCCATCTTCACAGGATTTATCTTCTGTTACAATTTTCAGATTTTTTTGAAGAATAAAGATAGGAATAAAACCCTAAATTAAGTTTAGGAATTAAGATTTTTTAAAGGAGAATAGGTGACCGTTGAAGGCTTTTGGGTCTCAAACATGGCGGTCAACCCAGTCAACCTAGTCCATGTAAGCAGTTAACGCACCAGCTGTATTTTCTGTCACACCTGTTAACGACTATTAATGTCAAATGATCAATTTGTAACAAACGATAACGTTTGTGACTTTTGAATTATCATTGGTAAAAATAAAAATTTACTCAAACATTAATAAACATTTGCGTAGTTTACCGTAAAATTAATTCTTAATCGTCAATTTCAAATAATCATTACATAATCATAGATTTTGAGAAAAATGTCAGCTCAAACTAACAGGTTTATTTCCATAACCGAACGAGTTGATTGCGAATTTATCAAAACGCGAACTGTTAAGATTTCGATTGGACTTATAATTTAAATTGAATTAAATCAAATTAAATATTAATTTAATTTTGATTAAATCAAATTTGAATGGTTGGTTATCAGCTTAGTTAGCACCCTAGAAGAGCCCATAACCGTATGAGAGGTGTAACTAAACCGAGGCAGCATGATATAACCAGCACAGATGTCAACCCCTTGGAATTAAAAACAGCCATACATGATAAACCATACGTGCATGTGTCAGCTTCAAACAAAATGAAAAATTACATGCAGACACGTAATCTAAATTGCAACTTTAATATTTCTAATTTTTAAAATATAAATTTATATAAACCGAATGGAAAATAGAGTTTGGATAAGGCGACTCTCCCTCTCAAGTTTCCAAACAGATTGGGCTGATCAGAATGGAAGTATCACAGTTCATTATATTTCTCCTACCTCTCCCCTTCTTCCTGTTCATTCTCCTAAAACGCAGTATCAGCAACAATGGGAACCGTAATCTTCTTCCCCCCAGCCCTCCAGGTCTTCCCTTGATCGGTCATTTTCATCTGCTAATGTTCGATAACTCAGCCCCTCATATTTTCTTTTGGAAGCTCTCTCAAAAGTACGGTCCTCTCGTGTTCTTGCGATTAGGGTTTAAGCCAACCCTTGTAGTTTCTTCTGCAAAAATGGCTGAAGAGGCTATGAAAACTCACGACCTCGATTTCTGCAGTAGACCTAACCTACGTGGTGCTCGAAAATTATCTTACAACACCTCGGACGTGTCTTATTCACCATACGGTGAGTACTGGAAGGAGATGAGGAAAATTTGTGCAGTAAATCTGTTTAGTAGAGTGCAAGAGTTTCGTCCCGTTCGAGAAGACGAAGTTGCTCGGTTGATTGGAAAAATATGTCGATTATCTGTCGATTCTAAGCCTGTCAACTTGACTGAGGCAATGGCGTCCCTTTCCAGTTCAATAATTTGTAGAGTAGGCTTTGGGAAAAGGTATTGTTAGTGGTTTACCCTTAGGGACGAGGTTTTCGGGCATCCTTCCTCTAAAAATTTTATTTTTTTTTATTTTTAATTGATAATTTGTTAATCGTGTTTTTTTCCTTTATTTTTCTAATAGGTATGTCGAAGAAGGAGCTGAAATAAGCAGGTTCCATGGGTTGCTTAAAGAGAGTGAAGCCATGTTCACAAGCTTCAGTTTCGCTGATTATTTTCCTTTCATTGGCTGGGCTGATAGATTTACTGGGTTTCTTACTCGTCTTGATAAAATTTTCAAAGAACTTGATACCTTTTATCAGGAACTTATTGATGAACATCTTGATCCGAATAGGCCGAAATCAGAGCGAGAGGACATACTTGATGTGTCGCTAAGATTATGGAAGAATCGTGACTTTTCGTTTGATTTTACCATTGATCACGTTAAAGCTATTCTTATGGTAATCTCATCACTCAAAACCTTTACCATGCAAGGATCGTCTTATCTTATTTTCACCTTATGTTAGCATGGGTGTATATGTTCATGGATATTGTTGTACTTCCTTCCTATCTTTTTCATAAGTTATATTTTCGCTCTCATAATTTTTCGATCAAATCTAAAAGAGTAAACTACTAGAACAATCTATTTTTCCTTTCAACAAATATCAATTATATTCATAACTTCCTTTTACGGAGGGATGAGGATTGTCTTATCCACTTTATCCTTATATTTTATGAATGTTCATGTCCATGGATGACCTCATTCTTTTCATTTTCTTTTTTATGCAGGATGTGTTTATTGCTGGAACAGACACAACAACAGCCACTGTGATTTGGGTAATGTGCTTTCTAATGAAAAACCCAGAGTATTTGAAGAAAACTCAATCAGAAGTGAGACATTCGATCGGTGAAAAAGGCTTCGTAGATGAAGATGATCTTAAAGCTTTAACGTATCTAAAAGCTGTGATAAAAGAAACATTCAGATTGCAACCAACAGCACCATTGTTAGTACCACGAGAAACACTTGGAAAGTGCAGCATAGGTGGGTACCAAGTGCCTGCAAAAACCCTAGTCCATGTAAATGCATGGGCAATAGGAAGAGACCCTGAAACTTGGGAAAACCCAGAGGAGTTCTGTCCTGAAAGGTTCATTGGTAGCCCTATTGATTACAAAGGACGAAACTTTGAGCTCATACCGTTTGGTGCTGGTAGAAGGTTTGTCCTGGAATGCATATGGGAGTTGCAACAGTGGAGCTTGCACTTGCTAATCTTCTTTATAAGTTTGATTGGGAAATGCCAAAAGGGATGAATAAGGAAGATATCGACTTTGATGTCCTACCTGGTCTCACTACACACAAAAAGAATGATCTAGTCCTTGTGGCTAGGAGAAACATCAAATGATTCATCTTCAACTTCTTTGAAAATCTTTCTTCTGTGTCCTTGGAAGATTTAGTCTATTACAATGTCATAGATTAAGAAAAAAATATTAAAATTTAAGAAATCAAAATATGGATTTAAAATAAATTTTATGACTATATTTTTGTGAACATTTTATTTTATTATTTTTAATTTAATTATCGATATTTAATCTTTTGATCAATTAATTTAGATCGAGTATTATATAGATCTATTTGTGAAATCATTTCTTCTAACTTAATTTATTACATTTATATTGTTAAAAAATTTAATTAGAAACAACTAATTTTTTAGAAATGTTGATGATGGTAGTATGGTCAAATTTCACATTCTCTCTTCCAAAGGATTTCAATTCCATCATGTTATAGATGGAATTTACTTTCCCGCCCTTTATGGAATTGGATTTCAATTCCCCCTTTTAAAACTTGAATCAAACATGAGAAAGTGGTGGAATTGAATTCCAATTCCTCCTAATTTCAAGGGATTCCAGCGAACCAAACGCCACCTAAAGGTTTTAGATTTGAGTATCAGAGACTGTAAATTGTTTGAACTTTCATTGTCGAATGATGAAAAATCATTAAAACATATATTATCTTATAATTACCTTATATTAATAAAAAAACTTATAGAAAATATAAAGTATGTTGAATATTTTATAATTTTTGTTGGACTATAATAAGTAGCAATCATTTTGAATAATTTTTTAGAAGCGTAAGATACAACCATGCATTCATGCTCATTGTATTCAAATTCTATTAAAGGTATAATTTAATGATAAATAATTAATTTAATAAGTTATTAAGAATATGAAAATTGTTTACTGTATTTGTTGCCACGTTCTTGTATAGCTTTTTGATATATATGTTTTTGAATAATTTTAAGATTTTGCTCATAATGAGTATTGAATCCACAACCTAAGGAAGATGAGAGGTATCAATTGAGAGTTTTTAACCACTTGCTTTATGAGTTGTTGATATATTATTACTGTGTAAATTAAATATCTAACTTGCGTTATTGTTATTATAATATTTTGGAGGTCGTAAATTTTTTAATACCCTAAATAGAAAGAAATCTGAAAATAAAACAAATAAAGAAACTAACTCTTAATACCAGTCAAACTCATCTTCTTCCTCCTCTTTGTATCTTCCCCTGCTTTCTCTTCTTCATCCTCCATAAACTCAACAGAGGCTGATGCTCTTCAAAAATGGAAAGCTAGCCTTGACAACACCACCCAAACTCTTCTCTCTTCTTTGTGGGTTGGAGGTAACCATTGCAACTGGGTCGGAATCACTTGCGATAGGCCCGAAGCATCACCATTCTAAGCTTAGCAGAATATGGTCCTAGATTGAGAGGTACACTTGACAATCTCAACTTCTTTTCCTTTTCTAACTTGATGGTGCTTCACCTCCCAGAAAACTCACTGTATGGGTCCATTCCTCCTCAAATTGGGAACTTTCTAAACTTGTTTACCTTAACCTCAGATTCAATATGTTATATGGTTCGATACCTCAAGAGCTATGGAAGCTAACATTTCTCACTGTACTTGGGTTGCGTGGGAATAGATTATCTGGTTCAATCCCTTCTTCCATTGGAAACTTGACCAGCTTGTCTACTCTTACTATTCCCAGAAATAACTTTTCTGGGTTGATTCCTAAAGAGATAGGCATGCTTAAATATCTAACTGAACTTAAGCTGTCTAATAATAGTTTATATGGCCCAGTTACTCCATCCTTCAACAATCTTACTCATTTGCAACATTTTCAGATAAACATTAACCATTAACCGGTTCTTTGCCCGAGAATGTATGTTCCGGGGGGTCACTCATGTACTTTGGGGCAATGGATAATGAACTTACAGGTCAGATTTCATCAAGTTTGAGAGATTGCAAAACCTTGTTTAGAGTTAGGCTTGAAAGAAACCACTTGACTGGAAATATATCAGAGCTTTTGGTATATATCCAAATCTGAGTTTTGTTGCATTAAACAATAACAAGTTTTATGGTGAACTTTCTCCCAAGTGGGGGAAATGTCATAATCTACTCAGCTTACAGATCTCTAATAATAACATTGTTGCGGAAGACGGCTATCGGATAGAGCAAAATTGTAACTGATAATTTGAGAAAATAAAAATGAAGATAAAAGAGACACAAAATTTACGTGGAAACCCCTAAAAATATAGGGTAAAAACCACGGGCAACGGTAGAAGAATTTCACTATGAGAAAATATGAATTACAACCTCTCTCGATCTACCAAGGAGAAAACAATGATAATTCTCTCTAGATAAAAAAGAGAAAACAACTCTCAAGAAACTCTCTAAATTCTCTCTAGTATTGGAAGAAAGCTAGAATGCTTTGGGATGGTTTTGAAGTTAAATGAGCTATGGTATTTATAGTTGAAGCTTTAAGGACTAATTTGTAAATACCCTAAATTACAATGACTAATTGTATAGTTTTACCATCCAAAATTTTCAACAATTTGGTGGCCAAATTTGACCAATTTTGCCATCCCATTAATGCCACCAAATTGCCACCCATAATGTTGACAATTGATGGAATTTGGTGTGCCAATTTTCAACAATCTCCCACTTGAAGATTTGATTGGAACAATCATATCTTCACACCATTCTTTCTACCTTGTACCTTTCATGTTGCTTACGTTTTGACAGGCCACAGGATGATCGACACCAAGTAAATTTATCAGCATTGATTGCCTTCGTCATGAAATCTGCTATGTTGTCTTTGGTATGGATCTTCTGCATATCTACCGTTCCTTCTTCCACCTTTTCACGAATGAAATGGTACTGAACTCGTATGTGCTTAGTCCTTGAATGAAATGATGGATTCCTTGCTAGATGCAAGGCGCTTTGACTGTCACAAAACATAGAGACATACTCTTGATTGTGCCCAAGCTCCTCCAATAGCATCTTCAACCAACTTGCTTCTTTACTGGCTTGTGTAGCTGCTACATATTCTGCCTCTGTTGTGGACGTAGCCACAACTGACTGCAATTTTGAAACCCAGCTTACAGCTCCACCAGCAACTTTGAACACATATCATGTAGTAGATTTGCTTTTATCCAAATCCATTGCATAGTCAGAATCTACATACCCATTGATTAGTAAGTTTGATCATCCGTAACATAATGCAACATTTGAGGTCCCTTTGATGTATCTTAGGATCCTCTTTACAATATTTCAATGCTCTTTGCCTGGATTCGTCATGTACCAACTAACCACTCCACTGCTTGTGCAATGTCTGGTCTTGTGCATATCATAGCGAACATTAAACTTCCCACTGCTGATGCATACGGTACTCGAGACATCTCCATCCTCTCTTCTTCACTGCTAGGACTCATACTGGAGGATAATTTGAAGTTAATAGGAAGAGGGGTAGAAATTGGCTTACAATCTTGCATGCTAAATCGTGACAAGATTTTCTTCAAGTAATTCTTTTGTGAAAGCCAAATCTTCCTATTACTTCTGTCTCGGTGAATTTGCATCCCTAGAATCTTGTTTGCTGATCCCAAGTCCTTCATTTCAAATTCCCTAGCTAGTTGTGCCTTCAATTCTTCAATATGATCTTTGTTAGATCCTGCAACCAACATGTCATCCACATACAACATCAATATAACAAAATCGTTATCACCAGAACTCTTGAAATAAGCACAAGGGTCTGCATTAAGTTTGTTGTATCCAAGGCACATAATGAAGGAATCAAATCTCTTATACCAACACTCGGCGCCTGCTTTAGACCGTACAGAGATTTGTTCAACCTGCAAACTAAGTTCTTCTTTTCGTCTTCTTCAAAACCTTCAAGTTGGAGCATATAAATCTCTTCTTCAAGATTTCCATGAAGAAAAGCTGTTTTAACATCTAGCTATTCCAAATGTAAATTCAATGTAGCACACATTACCAAGACTACTCGAACTGTTGTTAGTCGAACAACAGGAGAAAAAATTTCATTGAAATCAATACCTTCTTTCTAAGCATATCCTTTGACCACCAGTCTTGCACGATACCTCTACACTTGATCGTCACCATTTCGCTTGATTTTGAAAACCCATTTGTTACCAATTGGCTTCCTTTCTTGTGGTAGTGGCACAAGGTCCCATGTATTATTTTTATGAAGGGCTTCGATTTCTTCTTGCATCGTCATCATCCACAGTGAAGCATCTGAGCTATTTATTGCCTCCTGGTATGTTGATGGCTCATCGTCCTCTATTAAAAGGCAGTATGCAATATTACCTTCTATAACATAATCTGAGTGCCAATTGGGATGTCTTCTCATACGATCTGATTAACGAGTTGTTGGAGCTTCAGAACTCTTTGGTTCTTGTTCATCATGTGTTGGTTCTGCTTCAGAAGAATCTCCTTCTTCAAACTCTTTTTCCACATGTATCTGAGTAGTCTCTGACTTTTCAGCGCTATCATCGTCTTCTTTTCTTTGTAGTTTATCTTCTACAAAGATAACATCCTGCTAATGATCACTTTGCGGGCAGTGGGATCCCACAAGCGATACCCCTTTACTCCATCACATACCCCAAGAATTTGCATTTCTTGGATTTTGGATCCAGCTTTGAAATTTCTTGGGCGTTGTACATCACGTACACAATACTTCCAAATACATGGAGGTTTGAATAATCAACTGGTTTACCAGTCCACATCTCCATTGGTGTCTTCAGCTCTATTGCAGTTGATGGAGCTCGATTCACCAAATAACAGGCGGTATTGACTGCTTCTGCCCATAATGATTTTTCTAGGCCTGCGTCCCTCAACATTGCTCTTGTTCTTTTTAACAAGGTTCTATTCATCCGCTCTGCCACTCCATTTTGTTGAGGAGTGTTCGCCACTGTGAACTGTCTTTTGATGCCTCTTTCTTGCAAAAGTCATTAAATTTTTCGCTTGTGTATTCTCCTTCATTATCTGTTCTGAAACACTTGATCTTATTTCCAGAATCAAGTTCCACCCGCGCTTTGAAGTTTTTGAA